ATTAACTTTTTTTCCCTATTTTTATTTTGAACCTTAGGCCAAATGTAACCTCAAGTGTTCTAAGGCAGTTGTAGTTCATATACGTGCAGTAGAAATGCATCTTACATAAAAATCTGAGCTAAGTGGTGGGCTGAAACCTCTCTTATGGGACTACTCAAGGGACAACTGGATGCCTTCTATAAGATGTCTCTAGGCCTGATCCAAAGTTCATTTAAGTCAATGAAAAAACTCTCACTGACTTTCACTGGCTTTGGATCATGCCCTAAATGAACTTTGAACAAAATTTTTCAAGAAACCTCTAGGATATTGAAGGTGGTCATTTAAGTTAGGGGGTCATCTGCTGAAATTGGCCCATAGCACAGGTTTCACTGTATAGAGTAATCGCACATTACCATTAATTTGAAAAAATCCAAACACCCATGCAACATAATCAAATACTACATGAGTATTTTCTACACTTGTCTAAACTCTATTTCGAAAAGATACGTTGTTTTCTCATGCTAGTCTGGCAAGCTTCTAAGGCATATGTGCAAGGTGATGATGCAAAAGCAACTAGATCTGACAGTGTAAAATCCATATATACTACACAGCAATATTTAAAATAAAATATAAAGTCAAATGCCAGAAACCATTGTACAATATCAGTTTTTCTACTGTAACACAAAACATTATATTATTAAAAATTGAATAAGGTACTGGTGCACTCAACTCAGGAGGCAAGGCTCTGAATTTAAATTATATCAGGGATTTGTTCAACTTTTACATAAATTAAAATGAACAGAGCAATGATGATTAAATAAATAATAAAGTTACAGGAAAAGGGAAGGAAGGGAAGAAGCAAAATACAGTGATAAAAATTAGCATCTGAAAATATATGTATATTTTATCAGTACATCTTAGGCTATAATGAAATAGTTGTCCACAGGGTTTAAGATAAATTACTTCCCTCCACAGGGTTATTAAATGTCAAGTGTAGATAACAGTAAATTAAACATTGCTCAAGAGGAGGACGTTTATTATGGACTTCAGTTTGAAGAACTAGAATAGCCAGCTGATGTCTTATTACTGTATTAAGAAAGGCAGCTCTAATTTGAGGAAGTATGCACTACAGTCTCAAAAAAGTTAGAAATCTTAAGTCTGGATTTCTTCTTTAGTTAGGGCTAAATGGCAAGAAAATTCCAATTAGTGCCAACTCCTGCAGTTTTTACGCATGCAAAACTCCTGTTAACATTAACAGAGGTTATGTATACATTAGGAATGCAGAAAATGGGTAAGTCTCAAAAGGAGGATTCTAAGATTTCCAAACTAGTTTCTCAGACTTAAACTTTGGGCCTGTCATACAGACTGAATTCAATGGGAACAGGATCGGGTCCTGTCTCATGGATGATATGGGGTCCAAATTTGAGCTCTTTAAACTTAAAATGGTAAAAATATGCATTTATTGTAAAATATTTAGATGAACTTTGGGCCTGATCTTGCCAGAGAACAGGCAAGGATACCCATTACAGCAGCATGGGACTTGTATTCAAGCAGGCTCTAAGAGTAGCCATGGAAACTTCCTCATGCTCCACTGGGTTATTTAAGGTTTATGCACCCTCTATCTACCTCCTATATAATCCCATTTGCTAAGTCTGCAGTAGGAAAGAAGTGTGTAGAGGAGGCAGAAAAGGGCTGTGACAGGCCAGATCACTTATTTCCTATGTAGGATGTTAGAGAGACAAAGTGGCTGAAGTAATAAAATCTTTTATTGAACCAATTTCTGTTGGTGAAAGAGACGAGCTTTCAAGTGTCACAGAGCTCTTCCTCAGGTCTGGGAAAGGCACTCAGCCTATCACAGCTAAATACCAGGTGGAACAGATTGTTATGGAATTAACACATGTTGCAAGAGACCATTCAAGGAGGGTTTCAATAAAGATACTGGATTTATGGCTCATTACAACAATCTGTAATCCACTAACCTTCCTTTGTCCTATGATTGAAGAGGTGTTAATTGCCCACTTCACCTTGAATGATCTCTTTCACCAACAGAAATTGGTCCTCATCCACCTTTGTTTCTCTAATATCCTGGGACTAGCCAGGCTACAACACTGCAAAGAAATATGCAAAGTAGTTGTGTATCTGCCATTGCATGTGTCTGGATTTACTTCACCCTCAATCTTGAAGGAACTGCCATGGTATTGTTGCTTCTGATTGGAGTCTGATATTGGGGGAATGCAGATTTTGAATATCCCCAAAATCAGGAATATTTTGATTTGGGATTTGCATTATCTCATAATAAAGATGGGTCAATTTGTGAAATTTGGATCCAAAGCTGGGGTGGCATTTAAAACACCCCAAAGTTCAGGTGTGTTCCTATACAAGGCTTTGATTTGGGCCCAGCTCTTGGCAACAGTTTTGTCTTTTTGTGACTCTATCACTATGTACTTGAATTCTAAACATTCACAATATGCAGGTCTTTTTTAGCAAGCTGTTTTTATGCTTCAGTATTAAACGCAAGATCTTAGCAGGGTTTCACAAGAGAAATAGTTAAATAAAACCTTGTGCATGAATAAGGCACTAGTAAATGTTTGCAGCAAACAACAATTACAGTCTATATTCTTTAAGAATAAAACTGATCTCTTTAGAAAAACCTTTGTAATATGACAGAGTTACCAATGCCAGTTAGAAGGAAGTTAGAGAAAGTGCATCTTCTGGATCCTGTTTGAGAGGTCTGTGAGAAACTACTACATGCAAATTCCTATAGTAGTTTGAAAACATGCCATGCAGTGGTGGTGCTCTACAGAGCTAAAGCAAAAGGAAACAGTGGTTCTGATCTCAAATGAACCAGTGCAAATTAACTTTAATGGAGTTACTTCATATTTACTTTGGCATAACTGAGATCAGAACCTGGTCCACTGCATTTGATCTATTTGAACTATAATAGTACTAACCCAGAAAGAATGATTGGTTATTATCCCCTTTGATGTGTTCTAAAAACTAATAAGATTTCTTTTAAACTCCATATCCTCTTTTTTAAATCCAAGGATGCACTTTATCTTTTGGCTAACATACCATACAAAAGCCTTCTGCACTTCTTTGGAGCTGCTGTCATTTGAAACAGCTATATTAAAATCATTAGTACATATTTTATACCAAATGAAATTTGTGCCTGCCAGTCTAATTGTAGAATGGCTGACTACTATTTACTGATAAAAATTATTTAAAAATAAACCCTTCTGTTCATAAATCAGATGGTTCATAAAAACACAGTATAGTTAAAAAAAAAACACTGTACTTTGATGTATTAGTTCTACTCTGGATGACTGAAGTACACAAATTTGTTCTTCTAGCCGATGGGAATCCACTTATACCATAATGGACCAGTAAGCAATTGTGACTCTACTGCTCCAAAAAATCTATCAGATAAAACTACTGCATCTATGTCATTCATTTGGTATCAGAATTATAAGGTCAGTGGTAACCCAACAATGACATGAAATCACTTTCTCCTTTGACAAAGTTTTGCTCCATTGACATTTTCCATTATCTGTATAAAATGTACTAAAAATTCAATGCATTCCTAGTATCAACAATGCAAGGAAGGGAAATATATCAGTGGTTAATAATTTTTATCTTTTTATGTGCTATTGCTAGCAGAAGCTATAACTGCAAACTCTGGAATTTTTGGCTCTTGTGCCTTTATGTAAGGACTTAATATTAAGTTTATCCCAAGACACATGATTGAAAGCTATTCACCTCTAGAGCTTCTCTTGGTCTTTCAGTGACATTTTGCAAATAAACGGATCTGATTTAAAAAAATGATCTTCAACTTTGAATATACTGGATGAAATTCATTGCTGGTATAATTGCTGAAGTCATTGAGGCATGAAGTTACACCAGAGATGAATCTGTCCCAATTTCTTTTATAGTTATAAAAAACATGCAAGAGATTGAATGACCTATTTTGACACAAAAACACCATTTCACAAAAGGATACTTTTTTGTTTGTTTGTTCATTTTGTTTTTAAATTAACAAAGCAAAGTTTGCCAGGTGAGAAATCAACGAGAACAAAACTGAAAATTTTCACTAAAGTTATTGTACAGCTTTGCACAGCCCTTCACCTTTTTCAAAAAGTAGCATTTAAGGGTTTGGTTTTTTCCCCAAACAATGATGCTACACAAAATTGCTGCCTCACTCTTGAGAAATACTTCAAATTGGGAAAATCACATTGTACAGCTGACAAGAAAAGACAGCCCTTGATCTTTATAATAGATTTTTATAATAAAACATCCTCAGAATCCAGGAATTTCAAAATTAAAGAGACATTGGTATAACAAGGAATAACCATTGATGGTAGAGGGAATTAAAATTAATAATTTTTTTTGAAGTGTGTTAGGTAAGAGGTTTGGGGGGGAGAGGTTATAGTGAAAGTTGTTTGGTCAAAAGAAAATGTATGTTATTATTAGGAGATGACAAGGAAGCTGACAGCTAGCTTTAATACATTTTGAGGATGGTGTGAAAATGTAATTAGATGTTGATATCAAACTATCTGTTCAAAATTATCAAAATCTGCTTGGATGGCCATATACTTGGAGGGAATGATTTACATAGGAGAATACTTGCTTAAACTTGTATCTTTTGCATGGGGGAAGTCTGTCCTCCATTATGTATCAATAGCAGCTGATCTTAGAATGACATTTCATAGCTCAATTTTCAGTTCTGCCTCAAGGTTCTGCCTAGCCAGGATGGGAGGTATGAAAAGTTCTAAAATTGAAGGAGAGGAATCAAAGTATGCTTTTAAATTCAAATGTGAAAAATCAATGTCGAAGCATAAATGACATTCAGTGTCAGAAGTAACAAATTTAAAAGTCGTAAATAATTCAATATAGAGAGTATAGTTTAGAGAACATTTTATATGTGTGCTTTTTTCAAAAAAAAAAAAAAAAAAAAAAAAATTTTTTTTTTGCCTTTTT